TCAGTAGACTTTCTCGCTTGCAAATTTCCTTTCAGTGAGTCCAAGCCAGGAAACAACAGCTGCTTGTCTATAAAGTCTAAAGTTCTTATTTAACCCTCTGGGTAATGTGCACACACATTCGTGAACTCGAAGGAAAAGGGCAAGGTGAAAAATGTGTACATGTGGCTATTGCTTTCCATGCAGAATTCATCAGATACTGTTTGAAGTAATTTGCAGCCGGTATGAATATGGTTGTGTGTATTTGTTTATTTATCAAAAATGATGGTGTATATACATTTTAGCATTACGAATGTGGAGTTTGTTTTTATAGGAAGAAAAACATAAATATGACCATTACATTTTTCTAAGATAGAACTGGACAACCTTCATCTAGTTGAAAAGAGTTAACCATCTTACGGCCTATAATGTCTAAGAAAATATTTTTCCCAAGGCAGAGCCTTTCCTCATTTGGAACTAACCGAGTTGCGCCGGTTTATTATCTTAGGACACTATCCCAATGTTAATTAAACTGGTTTACCTTTTTGAATTCTATTCTTGTCTTCTCTTCACCTCCAGCTTGATGTCTCAGAACATTTAAGAAAACGTTAGGGATATTTTAGTGAATGTAGCCGTAACGAACCCATGCGCTAGCAACCATTTGATGAGTGGACTCGAACTAACATTGTGAAAATATTAGCCCAACCTTACTTTGTACATATCACGCATTCCACTAAGCTAGAAATTCCTATANATCTCAAGGGTTACCTTGTTTTGTTTTTGTCTTAGTTATGCTCGAGAGAGGACATTTCGCTGTATACGGGACGGAGAAAGCTGCTCCCTTACAGAAACTTGCTTCGTCAACAAGCCAGTAAAACAAGGAGTAAAACGTGCGTGTTTGTGGCCGAACTGAGATTCAAACAGGACTCTGTAAGCCTAAGAGTATAAAGTAGAATAACTGACTATCGAGTTGGAACCTAAAGACGTATTTATCTTCGGCCCCATCAGAATTGATAAATTTTCGATCTTATTTACTGTAATATCTTCAATTTTACTCCTTAGATATATATATTTATTTTGCATTGCCCTGGAGAACCATATGGAAAGGTCGGGGATGCTCTTCGTCTCGCTTAGGGGTGTAAATCAAAGATTCTGGTCTCACTTGGAGTCTTCAGAACAAAACACTACTATATTTAGTCGTCAAAGTCTCTTTCAGTGCGCACTTGAAGAAATTATAATTAATAAATGCTGTCATTTTCGTTTTAAGTGGTGGTATCTGGTCGAATAAAGCTCGAGCCACGCCCAGGTTGAAGTCATTTTCGGGGTTTAATTCAAATTTTCCGTCGAGCATCCCCGACCGTTTCATATAGGAGTACCTCCGGGGTACAATGCTCCTCTCCCCCCGATAATGTGGAAAGCACGTCGACACTGTTTGGGAACTTTCAAGTTGAAACAAGCATATGTACCGCGGGTACCCGTAGCAGGTTTCAAGGACAACATTCGTAAATGGGATCGAATTACCAAGGGATCAAACGATATAGGGCGCAGCTCCTAAATCACTTGTTTCAGTGAAACTTGACAACAGCTTCCTTAAACTGATAAGGCATCACAGCTCTCTGCTATAAAAGCATCGTAAACTGGGTCAAGTTTACGTTTAGCTCGAAGTCACCGACAGTGTTTTCAAAAAGCACTTTGAAAGATTCTTCACTTGAGTGAATTTCATCAATACGATCACCAGATTAAGTTGCTTTGTAGAAATTATACAACACTTGAAACGAAGACTGATTTCAAAATATATTTACGCTTTCGATTACTTATTTTTGAATTCCGCGCGAGTAGGTTGGAACCATTCATTTGCTATTCCATAGCCATCAGAACCGTAAACTTTGTAATAATTTTCTGTAGGATCGTGTAGGCTTTTTTCTTTCACCGAAATCCGCCTAGATGCAAACTTAAAACAACAGAAATCTCTCATTGAAAAATTGAAGATTGGTGAGTTGTTAGAATCATTTGAGAGAATCTCTGAATTCACTTAATAAATGGTTTTTTAGAGTTAAAACCACTTTTTTCTTTAGAGGTGGTCAGCCACTATACTGTTATATTAATGGTGTCCTTAAATTACTGCTCTCAACTGAACTTAAAACAGAGAATATTCATCATAATCTCTTGAAATTAATTAACTCGTCACGAGCCCGAGTAGAAACCTTTTAAAACAGGGAGGACTTGGCGAGGAAGTTCCTACTAATATTAGCGGGTCGTTTTCTACGTTTTTTAGTCAAGTCAGTAACTTATGTTATACCTGAAGGATTCTGTAACTGAGGTTCTTGTATCACAACCCGTCTTGACGAAAAGGAAAACACATAACATTTACTCACCTGAGACGGTGATTCGGTTATTTTTCACTTTCCGTGACCGTCTAAGTTTTCTGTATTCTGCCTCGGCCAGAGCGCGCTCTTTTCAGTAGTGGCTTTTAACGTTAAGCCTTCAAATCGAGCAATAAGCTTTAAATCCTGGCCTGGAATACGCGCCACGTAAAACAAACAGTAATATCAATTGCTTTGAATTTGCCATATGCCTCAAGAGCCTCCAACGAGCCGGTAAATTGACAAATTTACGGCCGCTTGACAAAACCAGGACTCCCGATATGAAGCCATTCAAGTGGATTATTGTGTGAGCTTGACAAGAGCCAATCACAGCGCCCAGACACTTGTCAACACTGAGCAGCTCTTGAAGCGTGCTGCCATGACCTCATCACAGTCGGGCGCCATGTTTTCGTTATGAGGTAACTTGCATAGCTAATGCTCTGCCGTGCCTGGGAGATGAGCTAACGATGGATACTATCAAAGGAAGCTCCTTACAAGTTTTGAAACACTCTCCAAACGATAAGTCAGAAGTCAGGATTACAGCGGCAGTCGAAGACCATGTGTCTCCCGAGAGAAGCCAAGGATTGTACTCCGGTCCTGTCCTGCGTCAAGATGGCTAGTAAGGGGGAATTTTCAACGTCTTTTCAGTCTTACAAGTTCGCGAGCATTCGCGGTCTCACCTGGCGCCGGTAGCAGACATCTTTTTCTAAAATGGATGGAGGTTCTCCCGAAGTCTTAATTAAGTTTTTTCGTCGCTGAAAAAAAAAAAAAAACACAGAAGAACAGAAATCAGACAAAAAACGGAGCCACACCTGCCTTCTTGAGCTTACATTTGAGTGTTCAGTTTGAATTTCAGGTCTTCCAGTTGAGGTAACTGGTGCACTTGGCATGTAATAAGGGGCTCTACAGGTACGCTACTCGTTAAAAATGATCGCATAATTTTAAAAACTATTTTGAGGAGTTTTTATTTATTACTTCATTATATTTGTCAAAAACTGGATTTACCTAAGTAGTGGTTTATAAAGTATTACTGTAAGATAGTGTTAGAATTCTGTTGCATCAGGTTTCTTTTTAAGCTTCCATGCGGCGACAAGGCCAGCTTCATTCATAAAAAAAAAAAAACTTTTTTGACCTGCCGCAAAAATATCCGACGCTCTCAAATGTTGCTGAAGTCCATTTAAAGAACATAACATATGTTTGCTTGTTTTCTCATCTGCTCTGATCCGTTAAAGCGTTTGATATCATATCAAATTAAAGCTACCTAACGAACCATGACTTATGAGCAAACGATAACACTGGATAGAGAACAAACACGTTACAGCATGTATGACTATTTTTCTTTGTGTTTCCTTAATTCGCTAAAATAGACAACGAGAAATAATGTAACTCATATCGTTGATTCTTTTTCCAAGCGAAAGGTGTATTATGAAGTCAAATTTGAGATTATTAATTTTGTAAGCAATATTCAAATAAGGTTAGTGCCTCTCACCAAAGTTCCTAACTTCGCTCGGGCGTGTCGAGGTTAAGTGGAATGCAGAGGTCGGGAGGTCCTTTTTATTTAAAGTCTGATGTCAAAGCACTCAAATAATCTAAAATCTGACAATAATAAAATCCACTCACCATGCAATTATCTCATAAATTTGTCGACAGCAACATTCTTGATTATCAGTTTGAGAGATGTAGTAGTTCTACAATTTTAGCAGAAAACCGGCGCAAAGCTATACCTTTTAGCGAGCGGGGATCCTAGTTGTCTTCAAGAAAATCTGAAATTTTGCTTTGCCACTAGTATAACGTTAATATAAAAGATCTGTTGTAAGTGGCGATTACTGAGCTCGGACGACAGTGTCAGAAGCTATCAAAGAGTCGAAAAGGGTGACTACTAAACGGTCTTAGTTCTATTATGTCTATTATGTGTTTGTTTTCAATCTATTCGTAAAGTTTTATGTGATTTCATGACTACTAATTTAAGTAATTTGCGAAATTTTGTCATCCGTAAAAAACCATAAGACATGCACAAAGAGGAATTGAAAGTTATTATGGCTAAGCTGATTACATGCCTTGTTGAAAGACAAAGTATATGAATTATGTCTGTCGACCATTAGGGAGGGAGTTTTGGCATCAGCAGTGTTCGCTACAGCCGTCGTACACTAACATTGGACAGACACGTACTGAAGTCCTCTTTTCAGGACAGTCGCTAAAGTGAACCTTTGGACTTGCTGTAAAAGTATACGATTAACCCTTTGAATACCAAACTTTCGCCAAAAAATACCGTTTTTAACCGTTTAGTCAGGTTTTTTAGCTGTCATGACGCTAAATAAGCCTAAGTTGTGCTAAAAAAAGCTTTTTTTGCTAAAAGGAGAGCTTTTTCGAGGATTAGGTACAAAATTGAGCAAAACTTCAATTACGGGCATGCGCATAAGCCAAAATTTGGACTTGGATTTGGACCATTAACCGTTCTCAATTTCGTTTGTTGGCCCTTTCCTTTCTGTTTTTCTCTGCCCTTTTACACTGGCTACCTTTTGCATTGTATGTTCTTTCTGGCTGCAGTGAAAAGT